GATAGGTTGGGGGAAGATTAGCCTGGGATTTCCTTCAGAAAACAGAGAAGCAACAATCAGAGTTAGATATTGAAGAGTTTCACAATCCTTTTTTCATAGAACTGGACAGAAGTTTTTTGTGGCGTTGCATTTATAGATTTTCCAGCAAAGTATTGTTTTCAAAAGAACCAAGCAAAAACTTCTTTTTGATTTCCCAACCTGGAGCAATCACGTAATATAGGCACAAGTTGAAACATCTTATCCTTTAAAATAGGTAACATCTTATGTGCTTCAAAATTTATCATTCTTGGTGTCCCTCACTTCCACTTATTTCATTCTTTAAGGAGTTAGCCAAGCTTAGCTTTTCGAATTTTTTTATTTTAGATAAATCAATAATGATTCACATCAAACTCTTTAATAATTCACATAATTAATTACTAATGAAGTCATTACTGATTCATGGGTAGATGGAGAAAAATAACCTCCCAAATCGGATGAGACAATTAAATAAAGATATATTAGTTACCGAAAATTAGTCACCCAAACCCCTCCCCCCCAATCCAACAGGTGATACGCCAATACTACTTCATTAATTGGCAAAAATTAATTCCCTTAGAGCATCTTCAATGAAGACACCAAAACACTATATTTGGCGTTTTTGGTGTAAAGTTTGTTCTCCAAGAAAAACACCAAATCAATGCACTATTTTGGTGCAATTAAAGTTATACAAAATTTGGTGTAAACTACTAATTGCACTATCTTTGTGCACTATTTTTTTTTATTTTGATAAAAAATATGATTTGCTATATTTTTAGCATTAAAAAATAAATTATATTATGAAAGTAATATCATATTATAAGATTTTTGAGATCTTCAAAATAAGATCCATATTGTCTATAATATTTATTTGTTTAAAAAAATTATTTTTATTTACCATTATTTTTTAATTACCAATATTGGTTAGATATAACTAAAATCACTACATTATAAAAACTTGTAGCACGAATATGAATTAGGATAATTCAATGAAAATAGAATTGTAAAAAATTTATTTTCACACAAAATTTGTTGCATCAAGGTTGTAGTGCAAAGAAATTTGATGTAAAAAGATGCCGGAGATATTTTATTTTTACCCTAAATTTAGTGTAAAATATAGTGTAATGATTGGAATGTCCTTACTAATTTCTTTTTTCTGTGATGCAACTCTTTATTTAACAGGAAAATGTGTGAATTGCTATTTCTCTTTGTGGATGTTCAATATTCTGCTTCGACTTTAGCATTAACAACTTTACAAGTAATATTGCTTTGTTGTCATTACTATTATTACTTTTAGGTAGTTTGTTTTTACAATATATGCTATTCTTATGGGTCTAATTTTCAATAACGGTCCTTCTATTGTTAGAAGCAAAAGTACTGCAAATAGTTCTGTTGTTGTTGTCATTAGTGCCATCACTTTCAGATAGTTTGTTCTTACAACATATGATTTGTTATTTGTCTCTAATCCTCTCCCTCTCATTCTTCATACAGTTCGTGCGTGGTTCTTTTCCGTCTACAGAGCTGCCCGCTGATCGAGGACTTCCTCCATGAGGCAAGACTATCCAATTTTCATTCGTTCCCCAATTCTCTTTTGCACCGCTATAAATTTTTTTTTATCAATTGTTTCTTAAATTAAAAATGACTTTTTTTTTCCGACAAAGAAAGTACATATCTTATGTGTTTTTCTTTGGATTATATACTTGAAGTACTGTTGTTTTGTTTGACTAGGAAAATAGATGAAAATGTGCTGTACTACCAAGTTAGTTCCGTAGTCTAGATTTCTCCAAAATTGTAACCACTAATTATTGTTTCTCTTTTCTCAGGGCTATGAAGTTGAATATTCAATTTCTGCACTCTCTCTTATATGACTCTTCAATTTAGTTTACATTGTAACCCTATGCTGAGGTTGAAGTGCCGCCTTCTCAATGGAACCACTTTCTATGTTGATTTCCTTACAAAATCTATTTTATAGAGTATTTAATTGTCATCTTCCATTTTATTGATAAGTTTAATACTTACATATCCATAAAAATAGTCCATATAATAAATTATGATTTCCTTTAAATTTCTTCGTTACAGTTCTTCAAATGTGAGTATATGTGACCCCACTTACTTCGATACACTGGCCAAAAGAGTATTGGGGCAGGTTCATAGTTTGTATTTGAAAATCATGAACCATTTACACACAAAAAAAAAGAATAATAATATTAATACTCCTTTTGTTCCAAAAAATAACCCACATTAAATTTAGTACAAATTTAAAATTTAATGTGAACTATTTTTTGAGAAGGGAAAAGTAATTATATGATAATATAATAATGAACCCTAAATTTAGGCAACAAATGAGTACAAACGTTCTTACAGCATTGTGCTTAGGCATGGGTGTGCTCATTTTGAGTTCACTTTTTGATGTTGTCAATATGAAAGATTAATTAATTAATTAAGTAGGCGTAATTTGTCATTATTAATTGTGTACATAAGTTTAGTTTGAGCAATCAGAGATTATATACTTTTAAAATGACTTTACCAATCAATTGATGTATATGCAGTAATAATAGTTTGATGGTCCAATCATTTGATAAGGATGAATCATGTTGTAACCTTTGCAAAACAAATTTCAAATTTTCAATTGGGGCCATCCATTCAAGTTATTTCATGATTTTTTACATATATAATGCAAGAGAACTGATAAGTGGAGAGTAATTTTGTTATACTGAGAGCACATTTTCTTACATGGGGAGTAATTTTTTTTTCTTCTTTTTGCTAAGAGCAAATTTTTCGTAATTAGTTATTTGCCTCACAAAGGTTTTAATATATTCACCATTGTTGCTTTTTCCAAACTTTTCTTCCATTCCTCACAACTGAGTTAAAAAGTTCTCTTCTCGCATATCCAAGGTATACCTTTCTGTTTTTACAAAATAAAAATGGAAATTTTGTCAAACTAGAGACTCAAAATCACAAAAAAAGTGTCTTATTTTTTTTTCCCACTAATGATGGACGAGTTCAACATTTCCATTTAGTCTAACAGGTTCCAGGATTTTGCCTAAAGTATTGGTCCTAAAGTTCCATCGTCATTTTGTTTATTTTTTCTTGTAGATTTTTGAAGGTACTTGTAAGTTCCTTTTTTTTTTTTTGGTGAAAAAAGGTACTTGTAAGTTCTACTAACACAGTTTTTTGAAAGATGCAACTGAAACGTCAAACTTGAATAAAGGAACTTATTTCTGTCTCTAAAAGATCTTGTTTTTATGAGGAGAGCTTATAACTGTGATCCTTGATACTAAGTCCTCTGTGATGTTCATTGTTCTATATATGTCCTGAAGTACAGAATCTCTCCCCACAACATGAAATGATGCTTATGATTGAAAAGAAGGTAATTGTTTATTTCATCAGTAAGTGGTAATTCATAAATGATTCTTTTAACGTTCTGATGTTCTAATAGTCGAACAATTTTAGTTCCAAAACAGCTTTTTGTTGAATATATTTGGACAAATATCTCTCTCTCTATCACATCATAAAGTATAACATCGTGGGCAAGGATAATATTCATCTTTGGGAGGACAGATTTTTGATAATCTTAGTACAATTATTCATGCATCTGGTTAAGGCAGTCAAAACCTCTGCATTTTGTGCAGAGAGTGCCTTCTTGTGAATTTTGTTGTTCCCAGTTCAAGTTTCCGCTCGTTTTATGCATTTTGAGCAGAAAAGCAGCATTGTTGCTTTGGAGATAAGTTTTTATGTGCTTCTCTTCCTTCTTGTAAGTCTATCTACATAAAAGAGGCGAGGCAAACATATGGAAGCAGAATAGATAGATGTGCTGGACGAGTTTTCAAGACCAAGAACTCAGCTTTTCCCAGTTCAGCTGTTGCTGATAAATATTATTGTCTAGAGAATTTGTCACAGACTTCGTCTGTAAGTTGGGGATCTCACAAAAATCAAAAGGTACTTCCTGATGTTCCTTGCAGCTGTGCAGAATTAGTCGCTCGGGCAGGTTCCGGTGGAACCCACGTATGAAATCCAACCTCTTATTTGCTTGATCCGATATTTGGATGCCTTTCAAGAGTTTATAACATGTGCTACTTCCTAGAAATAAGAGGATATAGAGATCCTACTGCTTTGAAATTCTATTTTAAGGTTTGTCTCAACTAGTCTTCAATAGGAGAGCTATAAATACAAATTTCTCACCATGTAATGCTGGCATCTCAATTTCTATTTTTGTTTTTAGGGTAAATTATGACTAAAATGTCCAAATGGTCACTTACATTTGGGCTTACTTGATTTTACGTCCCTAACATTAACATTTCAATATCGTAGTCCCAAACATTATATTTTCACACTTTTTTGGTCCCATTTTACTGTTTCGGCCATTTTTCCATCCAACTTGATGTTTGTTTAAAAAGAAAAAGCAAACTAAATTTTTTATCCGAATTTTCACCTGCCAATTTTTTATTCGGTCGAAGTAAAAAATCCAGCAGGCCCACCTACCAATTTTAAATTAATAAATAATAATATTTTAAATTAATAAATAATATTTTAACAATTAAATACTAAATGTGAATTTTTATAATAGTTTTAATGATTTAAATTTTAATAGAAATTTAAATTATATAAAAAGACAAAAATACCCCTTTTTCTGGCATGTCAACTGCCGGTCAACAACGAGTTGGACGGAAAAGTGGTCGAAACAGTGAAATGGGACCAAAAAAGTGTGAAAACATTTTGTTTGGTACTACGATATTGAAATGTTAATGTTAGGGATATAAAATCAAGTAAGCCCAAATGTAAGGGACCATTTAAACATTTTAGTCGGTAAATTATTGTTTTTTGTAGTTAAATTGTTATTCTTAATTTGGTTGGTTATTTTTGTTCAAGCAGGAAAACTACAAGAGAAGCTGCAAATCTGCTTTTTGCTGCAGCTGGAACACTGGTTTTGAGTTGATAGCCAAAATCAAACGATAAATCAATTTGATTTTAGATTTCTGGAAAAGATGCTTAATGATTGTGCAATACTGCCACCGGATCTCGATTCCCCAAAGGATTACTTCAAGTTTCTACAAGTGCACTGGGAAATTATAAAGGTGGCACCGAAACAAGTCCAAGAGTACAGGACCTCTCTCCAATTTCTAGTGAAAATGGTAGACATGCTAGATCAACCATTGATGGAGTTATTATGGAAGCTGGCGGATCACAACAAGCAAGTGGATCATCGGGTGAAACTTGCATTTGCACATGCGGCAAGGGAAGCATGTTCTTCTCTGATTGACTTATCCCAAATGTTATGTTCTCATGGTTGGGGTACAAACTTAAGCCTCGCAGAGCCGAGATGTTTGTCCTCGAGCTATACTACAGCGATTCTAAATTATGCGGTGACAAACAAGTTGCAACCATTAGAGAGGCTTTCAATTTCCTAAATGAATTCTTCAAATCACCAGAGCCACCATTGTTCATGGAGTACAGAGAAAAACATGCATTCATACGCATTGAAGCTTTACTAAGAAATGAAGGACAGTTAACAGAAGATATGATCATCAAATTACTGATCGATGATAATTCCAGCCTGAAGTTCAAGCAAAACTATCGCTTAGAAACTCTTGAGAGGATTTTGATATTCCTCAGAGCATTGCTCTTAGATCCGCCAAAACATGACTTTGTGGAGGATAAAGATGTATCACAAGTTAATGAAGTACTTGTAAGTCAGGATGACAACTCTTGTCTGCACCTTCGAGCAGGACAGAATTTGGAATCATCAGCCAATTGAAATGAAGAAAGAGTTGCTGCCGTATTTGTCCAAGATTATCGAGCTCAACTTAGTTGAAACTAGTGGAGCTTTCCAGGCAGGCTCTCGATGGTTAACTTTCCATTTTCCTAGCAAAGGTGTGATCCACTTTGTTGGCTTTGTCTTGGCAGATTTGAAGAAGGTTTTGACTGATAAGTATGTTATTTTATCTCTTGAAAAAGATCAAGTTGAACCGTTGCTAGAGGAATTGGAGGTGTTGATATCTTCCTTCCGAGACGTGAACATGCAGAAGAAGGATCTTTTAGAGGAGGAGCAACATGTGGTAAGCCTGATACATGAAGCGGAATATATCATTAACATATTTGTAGCCGGAGATATTTCTATATGGTACTACCAAACAGTGATTTTCAATATCATTGAAGAAATAAGGCTTATCAAGGCCCATCTCCTAGAGTGCTGTGTTCAACCGCCTTTGGGGCGTAAGGCACCAGAAGTCAGAAACCTAGAAATTGATGAATTTGTAGTGGGGTTTAATGATCATGCTAAAGTTATCGTGGGCAAACTTACAACTGGTTCATCACAAAGGCATATTGTCTCAATTGTTGGAATGGGCGGCCTTGGCAAGACAACGTTAGCCATGAAAGTCTATGGCTACATTTCAATTCTGCATCACTTTGTGGTTCATGCGTGGTGTTCAGTTTCCAGAGTACATCAAAAGAGACAGCTACTGCTTGACATATTGGAAAGTTTGGTCAGATGACTGATGAAATCAAGGTAAAGGGTGAAAATGATCTTGCTCAAATTCTGCATCAACTTTTAAAAGGCAAAAGGTACTTGATTGTCATAGATGACATATGGAGCATAAAGCCCTGAAGTGACCTACAGATTTCATTACCAAATGACAACCTACAGATTTCATTACCAAATGACAATAGAGGGAGTAGGATTTTATTCACAAGCCGGGTAGAAGAAGTGGTGAAAGTCTGAAAGACATTGGTGAAAGGGAACCGTACATTCTTCCCTTCCTCTTAGACAGTGAAAGTTGGGATCTATTGGAGAAGAAGTTGTTTCCTAGAGGAAGCTGCCTTGACCATTTGCAAGAAGTAGGAATGCTCACTGCCAAAAAATGCAAGGGTTTTCCAGTTGCAATTGTGATCATAGCTGGTGCTCCTAATAATGTTTAGAAGAGAATAGACCAATGGAAAGAATTTTCAGAAAATTTAAGATCACATATAGTTGATGATAGACAAAGCCAGTGCATGGACATCCTAGACTTCAGTTATCATCATTAACCGTCACATCTCAAACCATGCTTCTATGAAATATTACCAGAGGATTGAGAAGTCCCAACTCAAAAATTGAAAATGTTGTGGATCTCAGAAGGATTTATACCAGAAAAGCGTGAGATCGGGCGAACTCTAGAAGAAACTGAAGAGGTCTGCTTGTTGGAATTAACTAGCAGAAGCTTAGGGTCTCAAGCAAAAAGAAGATCTAGAGGGGAAGCTAAAACATGTGGTATGCATGATTTGTTGCGGGATCTCTGCTTGGAGAAAGCGAAAGAAGAAAATTTCATGCGGTTCATATCGAGTAAGTATTACCATTACAGCGACCACTGACGAGTCCATATCCACCACCGATATTGGACTGGCCCATCAACCGAGTAAAGGGCCCAACCAACTTCAATAGGGCGGCAGCATGGCTAAACCCTAGTAGGCTTCGGGTTCCCTTAAGGTATTCCTATGCCTATAAATAGAGATGATTACTCCACAATTGAGTTACGCTATCTCTGGCACTACTTCACATATACACACTATTTCGCAACCCTATTTTCTGACTTAAGCTTCGGAGTGTCTACCCTCGAGAGGCCCCGAGACTCTATTTTACAGGAAACCCTAACCGGAGTTCCACCACCAAGCTGGAAGCGCAATTCCAGGCATCGTCAAGTGGCACGCCTAGTGGGATTTGGAAATTAGGGTTTGTGTCACAAAACTTTCCCAAGCTTTCAGAACCTTGTCGATCCGCTTCCACCACTCCAAGCTAGGGTTTTCTCCAAGGCAGGATGGCTATAATCGGCAATCCTCAATCTAGTAACGCATCAACTAGTAGGCGTGAAAGCCCCAAAGATGATGAAACCCTAGCAGGATTCCAGGAAAGGCAGAAGCGGAAAAGAAACGACTGGCGGTCGAAAAGAAAGAAATCCCTCACAAAGCCAACTAGTCATGGAGGTGAGGGGGAAGGAGATCCAGAAACTCATCACAAAGAGTCCTGATCCATACCAAAAATAGCGGCTGGCCGAGATTGAAACGGAATTGAAGAATTTCAAAGACAGCAATTCCCTTAACCGGAGGAAAAAGAAATATATATTAGACGAATACCAACGTTGTTGTTTGATTGGCCTCCCCAATCCTATGGATCAAGAGCTGGAAGATCTGGTCGAGGAGAAGGAGGCGAAGAGAACATTAGCCCTCCTCGAGGTGAGGCGAGGAAAAGGAAAGTCCCGGGTGAAGGGGAGAAGAGTTTCACAAGGAAGCCCACAATCGCGAAACTTCTCGCGTTGGGCTCTCTGAAAACCCTGGTGATAGCTTTTGGGACACTCTCAAGCGAACAAACCTGGCGGTTTATGTGGCAATTGAGCAATTTGCAAAAGAACATGAATAGAAAAAATAGTCCCACCGCCAACCTAGCCCACGATCACCCAGCGTCGAGGAGTTGTTGAGAAGGGATTGGGACTCCCCTCCAAGAGGTAACTTCCACTCTCGACTGGGGCCTAAAGCTCCTCCGGAGAAGTATTATCACAATCACCGTGATACTCACCACAACTCAAGATACCTACCTTATGGTCATTAGAGGTATGACGCTCCATATCCTCAAGAGCCCCAATTTACTCGACAACGAGAGAACCAAGGCCGCAAAGACCTGTCCATCCACGACTCGATGAGAAGAATGGTAGGAATGATCGTGGATAAGAGTCCTTTTGTCCCACGGATTCGAGACTGTTTGAAACCTCGAGACTTCGACTTTCTAAAAGACTTCGTCAACTACTCGGGAGACACTGATCCACAGCGGCTTTTGCACGAGTATGTGCAGGTCATTAGAATTCGGAATGCATCTCTCGACTTCATGGCCAAAGATCTACCATCCTTCCTTGATGGACAAGCACAACGTTGGTTGGGACAGTTACCGGAAGGAAGCATTGATAGTTTCAAGGAGTTGTTAGTGAAACTAGCCACACGCTTCTTCCCTAGCAAGCAAATTACAAAAATGTCAATTGACCTGGTTTTGATCAAGCAAGGACAAAACGAGAGTCTCTCGGATTTCCATCACCGTTTTACTCGAGAGTCTCTCCAAGTAGATTACCTCGATGACAGAGATGTCCAAAACGGATTTATCCAAGGCCTCAACCCATGGGGAAAGTCTGCTCTCCTGCGAGTGAAGTTGACCACCAAACCTCCTCGAAACACACAGAAGATGTGGGCCACAGTGGAAAGCTATATCCAGCGCGAACAGACACTCAAGCGATCACAGGAATCCTTCTTGCTTGCAGGAGATCAAGGGGGAAGGGACAAGTACAACAACGACGGAGAATAAACCACCCTTGCCTAGGCTCGACAGGAGCTTAACCCCGTTGTTGAATCCCCAACGAGAAATAATTCAAATTCACAAAGACGAGTTCCCCGTCCCAAAACCATTAGCTCACAACCCGAATAGGTCCACAAGTCAGTACCGTGAATACCATAAAGACCACGTGCATGACACGGGCAGCCTGCCCAACAATCCTTGGACGGAGGGCCACTGCCGATTCAACAAGTTCCTCCTCCTGATCCAACCAAGCAGATCACTCACAATGTAGGAGCTATCTATGGTGCGTCCCTTGAGGTCTTGTCCACAACATCAATGAAAGCATCACTTCGAGAAGTAACTAAGACACCACCTCAAAAACAAAGTCACAAACAGTTCAAAGGGACAAAGGCAATAGTCTTTAAGGACAGTGATGTTGTCTCGGGCATCTGTCCACACAGTGATGCAATGGTCATCGAGGCCATCATAGGAAATGTCAACGGAAGCCGAGTATATGTTGATAACGGAAGCGCGGTGGATATAATATACAGTGAGTAGTTCAAAAAGATGAACGTAAAATATCTAAATTGGCGTCCCGCAACATTACCGCTAATGAGCTTTTCAGGGCATACAATAATCCCTAGCGGGATTGTCAGGCTTCCTATCACGGTAGGGTCGCATCCTCGAATGGTAACTCTAACCATAGATTTTGCTATAATCGATGCAACCTCGCCATTTAATGTGATCCTAGGACGGCTATGGATGTGAAAGGCCCGTGCTATTTGGTCACCCTACCACTTGGTCATGAAGTTTCCAACAGAGTATGGGGTAGGAATTGTGCAAGGGAGTCAGTGTAGTTCTTGAGAATGCTTACTCACAGCGGTGAAAATCGGGAAGAAAACAGTAAAGCCAGAGCTGGCTGTCACCACATCGGGGTGTTACTCTATTCAACAAGGAGTGTTACCAATCGAATATAAAGTGGAAGAGCAGGAGATGGATCTCGATCATCCCCAGCAGCCACCACTGAGCAACAAGATAGAAGAGTTGATCCTGAACGAGAAAGAGCCAGAAAAGACAATCAAGCTTGGAATATTTATAAACAAAATCTTGTGAGTCAAGGTAATCGCCTTACTACGCAAATTTTGAGATATCTTCGCTTGGTCACCATCTGATATGACCGGAGTTCCTCAAGAAGTCATCGAGCACAGGTTGAATATCGATCCCAATGTGAAATCGATCAAACAGAAAAAGATAATTTTAGCCCGCGATCGCAATGACGTCATTAATGAGGAAACGCTCAAATTGGTCCGTGCCAATATACTGGGGGAAGTCCTTTAGCCAATGTGGCTGGCCAACCCGGTCCTTTTCCGGAAACCGGATAATTCCTGACGCATGTGTCAGGATTACATGGACCTTAACAAACATTGCCCTAAGGATTGTTACCCTTTGCCCGTCATTGATCAGATGGTCGTGGGCATAACCGGTTTTAGAACACTAAGCTTCCTCGACGCATATAAAAGATACCACCAGATTCTTATGGCTCGAGACGATGCAGAGAAAACAGCCGACATCATAGAAATTGGTGTGTACTGCTACGATAAAATGCCGCTTGGCTTAAAAAATGCTGGAGCCACCTATCAGCGTCTAGTCAACAGAGCTTTCCACGATCAAATCAGGCAAAACATTGAAATCTATGTGGAGGACATGGTCATCAAGAGCAACCTCGACAACAAGTTAGTCGAAGACATGAGGGAGATCTTCACAATTCTTCGAGCAATTAACATGAAGTTGAATCCAAAGAAGTGCACTTTTTGCTTCAGCTCCGGGAAGTTCCGGGGATTTCAAGTATCAAAAGACGGCATAAGCGTGGATCCCGCAAAAGTAGAAGCAATTTTTATGGAAGCCCCAAAAATAGTCAAAGATGTTCAAAAGCTTACGGGATTCCTGGCAGCATTAAACAGGTTCCTATCTTGAGCTGCAGAGAGGAGCCTCCCCTTTTTCAAGACATTGCGAAAATGGAGGAGTTTTGCATAGACTGAAGAGTGTCAGACCGTCTTCCAGGACTTGAAAGAGCATATCAAGCAGCTTCCCATGCTAGCTAAACCGGAGCCGGGAGAAACCCTATACGTTTATCTGGCTGCTCGAGAAACTGCTATATCCGTGGTTCTCATCCAGGAAAAAGATGACAATGAAATTCCAGTTTACTTAGTGAGCAAAGTACTACAAGGGGCAGAATCTCGATACACCCCCATGGAAAAACTGATACTAAGTCTGGTGCTCGCTGCTCGGCGGCTTCGTTCGTACTTCCAAGCTCATCCAAATCAGGTCTTAACCAAGCAACCTATACAACAAGTTCTTCTCAAGCCTGAGGCTTTGGGCAGGATGATGAAATGGGCCGTCGAGCTAGGGGAATACCACATCGAGTATAAACCACGTCGGGACCACTACCAAAAACACCACCGCAGAAATACACTCCTGCAGATCCGCAAACTTGGACTCTTTACGTCGATGACTCATCTTGTGAGGATGGGGGAGGAGCTGGGATTATAATAGCCAAGCCAACTGCACTACAGGAAATCTAGGAGATGAAAGAATATAAGGCTGAATATTCCTATGTTTTGCGGTT